TCAGGAGTTCCCACGCACCCATCACAGCACCCAACACATGTGCTGCTGCTGGCCCACATGAAAAAACAAAAGCCTCTGTCCTCAAGAAAAAACATTCCTCAGAGGACACTGGCTGCCAGGAGAGGTGCATTACAGCTGGGATGTTGTGAGAGCAAATGTCACCCAATTTTTTTCAGCTCTTCTTCTCTAAAGCACATGCACAGAATAACCCACCAGGCTACCAAGACACTGCAACAGGTGCCCGCTCCGAGTTCAAGCAGGACGCTGCCAAATTAAATGCATCGCACTGAATGGTGCAGCTCTCAAGTTCCACATTAAATAGCAGTCCCTGCCAGACACGGAGAAGATATTTTAACAGGCTTTTAAAAACACACCTTTCACACTCCTCGGTCTTTAATTACCCGGCCTGGTGGATTTATTAACCGACCCAGCTCCACATTAGCTAAAGACGACATGACCCCACCCAGGCCCTGAAAACAGCCATTAGGAGTCCAGAGCCTGTCCCAGGAAAGGTGAGAGAGAGGCCGAGCAGCACTGCAGGAGGCAGACAAACCTCAGAGATGAAGAGAGAGGCGAAGAGAGAAATTCACTTGTTCCACAAAAACCGCAAGCAGAGCTACATCTGTGAAACCTGTAAGTGGCACTGGGACCTCGCTTCCCGCTTCTCCTCCTCAGAAGGGAGCCTGTTTGGAAATAAAGCAGACACGGGAGGCTCCTGATTCCAAGACGGCCTTGTTCCTAGGGCCACAGAGGAGACTGGCACCACTGGGTGACAGCCGTCCCATGGGTGGGGGGCTCTGAAGGCCCTTGTTCCTCAGCAGCCGTGCCGAGCATGTTGACAGCCCAGCTCAGAGCGGCTTTGAGGGCCAAGCCTTTCATTCTGCAGATGAAGGAAGTGAGTCTGCCTGTTTGTTCCAGCAATCCCACTTCGGGGTATGTATTCACAAAAATGAAGGCGGGGTCTTAAAGAGATACCTGTACAAAAGAGATAGTGATTCCCCATGTTCACAACAGCCAGAAGGTGGAAGCAACCCACGTGTGCATGGACAGATACATGGATAAACAAAATGTGGTCTATACACACAATGGAATAGTATTCAGTCTTAAAAAGGAAATGTTGACACATGCTACATGAGTGAACCTTGAGGACATCATGCTCAGTGAAATCAGCCAGTCACAAAAGGACAAATATTCTGAGATTCCCCTTATATGAGGTCCCTGGAGTAGTGAGATTCAGAGACAGAAAGTAGATGGCGGTTGTGGGCCTGGGGAGGGATGGGGAGCTTGTGTTTAATGGGCACTGAGTTTCAGCTGTGGATGGAAGGTGGTAGTGATTGCACAACAGTGTCTATGTACTCAACACAACCAAGCTATACATGTAGGAATGGTTCAGATGCTAAATTTTATATTATGTCTTTTACCACAATTAAAAAGTTTTAAGTGAATGCAGAAAATGAGTGTGAGAAGAGAAAGTGGCTAGTGAATTCTGAGTGAGCAGCCAGGGAAGGGCTCTCAGGAGGGAAGGACGGAGGGGGATGGGCTCAATGTCTGTAGGGATTTCTCTGGTCTTTTCCTGCTGCCCTCTGACTGCCCCACATCTCCACCTTTGCAGGTGGTGTTCCTGCATCACCTCCCCTCCCACCTCAGGACGATCTGAGCTGGGCGGGGGTGGAGTTCAGCTTGGTTATCTGGCCTGGAGCCTGTGTAGGAGGAAGTACAGGGAAAGGCTGTCCTTCCTGAGCAAAGGCATCAGAACAGACCTGTGAGGAGCAGGCACTGGAGGTAATGGATCTGCACTTGCATTTCAAGCTGTTGCCAAGTGCTTGAAACCTGCCCGCTTAACACCACATAAGCACGTGGAGAACCACCTTGCTGGAACCAGCTTCAAAGATTTGGCTCCAGGAGAAACCAAGATGGTGGCATAAGTAAACACTGGAAATTGCTGCCTCGCACAACCACTTCAAAAATACAACTAAAAGACAAAACAGACATCATCCAGAACCACTGGAAGGCTGGCTGAGTGGAAATTCTACAACTAGAAGGAAAGAGAAAAGTACACTGAGACTCAGAGGAGGTGCGGAAGTAAAGTGCAGAGGTACGAAAGCGCACACGGCAAGGGCTGGCGACTGAGGACGCGGCTGTCTTTTTGAATCGGGAGGGAGTCACAAGCTCCCAACTGCTCTGAACTGCAGTTCTGGGCGAGTCTCTGGGGACCCAGACTCATATGGGGAGACACTGGACTGTCTGGCATGGGTCGGAACTCGAGGGCGGCTTTCTCTCAGAGGTGCTTGGAGCGATTACCGGGACACTGAGAAGTGGGGCCTCTTAGGGTAGGACTGAGGAGCAGTCATAGCTGCTTGCTCCTCCCTGTTGATCCCCTGAGACCCTGCCCCACTCAAGCTGTGCGCAGAGTCTTTTGCATATGAAAGGCCTGGCCCTTTGCAATCTGAAAATTGCCTAACAAACTGCAGCTGGGTCAAAGAGACCCAGAACTTCCAACAGAAGGCCCAAGGCCCCACAGCAGCTTGCATTGCTTCACAGCTGGGCCTCATCTGGGCACCTCCAAATCCCAAACAAAGAAGAGGAATCTGAAGATCTCTCCACAACTCCTGCTGGGTAGCCTCAGGCAGAGGCTAAATTAGCACCTCCTTAGAGATCCAAAAGCCAGTGTACCCAGTGGTCAGAGTGGGACCATCCAGATTACAACTCCTCAGATCCATAAGGGACACACTCAGAGGACAGACTCAGTGAGCACCAAAGCCCCACTGAAGCAAGTCTTGCCCCAGAAGAGTGTCTCCAGCACAGAAGTTCTCCCACTGCAGAAACAGCTGATTGTCATAGCCAATTGGCCTGGAGGTCAATTCCTTTCAGTGATACCTACAACAAGCAAGGCTTAACTACAACAAGACTGTCCACAAAATCCACAAAGGGGTGCACCAAGAGTGTCCACCTCAGGTAATTGGGGAGGCTGAGCCACTGGGCCCTATAGGACACCTAGCACAAAAAGCCACTCTATCAACACAGGGAAGCAGCCAAAATGCAGAGACTAAGAAACAGGTCACAAATGACAGAAATGGAGGAAAGCAAACTACTGGATATAGAGTTCAAAATCACACTTTTAAGGTTTTTCAAGAATTTTCTAGAAACCACCGATAAATTTAGTGAGACTCTCAAGAAATCTAGTGAGACCCTCGAGGTTATGATAAAGGACCAACTAGAAATTAAGCATACACTGACTGAAATAAAGAATATTATACAGAGTTCCAACAGCAGACTAGAGGATAGCAAGAATCAAGTCAAAGATTTGAAATACGAAGAAGCAAAAAACACCCAACAGGAAAAACAAAAAGAAAAAAGAATCCAAAAATATGAAGATAGTGTAAGGAGCCTCTGGGACAACTTCAAGCGCACCAACATCCGAATTATAGGGGTGCCAGAAGAAGAGAGAGAGCAAGATATTGGAAACCTATTTGAAGAAATAATGACAGAAAACTTCCCCTCCCTGGTGAAAGAAATAGACTTACAAGTCCAGGAAGCGCAGAGAACCCCAAACAAAAGGAATCCAAAGAGGACCACATCAAGACACATCATAATTAAAATGCCAAGAGCAAAAGACAAAGAGAGAATCTTAAAAGCAGCATGAGAAAGAAACTCAGTTACCTACAAGGGAGTACCCATACGACTGTCAGCTGATTTCTCAACAGAAACTTTGCAGGCCAGAAGGGAGTGGCAAGAAATATTCAAAGTGATGAATGCCAAGAACCTACAACCAAGATTACTTTATCCAGCAAAGCTATCATTCAGAATTGAAGGTCAGATAAAGAGCTTCACAGATAAGAAAAAGCTAAAGGAGTTCATCACCACCAAACCAGTATTATATGAAATGCTGAAAGGTATTCTTTAAGAAGAGGAAGAAGAAGAAAAAGGTAAAGATACAAATTATGAACAACAAATACACATTTATCAACAAGTTAATCTAAAAATCAAGTGAATAAATAATCTGATGAACAGAATAAACTGGTGAATATAATAGAATCAGGGGCATAGAAAGGGAGTGGACTGACTATTCTGGGAGGGGGAGGGGGGAAGGGGCTTGGGGGGTGCAGGAAGAGACTGGACAAAAATCGTACACCTATGGATGAGGACAGTGGAGGTGGGGGGTAGGGGCAGAGGGTGGGGTGGGAACCGGATGGAGGGGAGCTATGGGGGGGGAACAAAGAGGAACTGTAATAATCTGAACAATAAAGATTTAATTTTTAAAAAATAATAAAGAAATAAAACCCAAAAATTTGGCCCCACTGTTTGCCTTTTTCCATTGATTTTTAGAGACTGGAAGGGAGAGAGGGAGGGAGGGAGGGAGGGAGGGAGGGAGGGAGGGAGTGGAAGTGACAGAATTCTGCATTTCAGAAAAGACCCAGCTTGGAAGGAAAGGAGCAGACTACTCCTGCCGCGGCATGACCAGGGAAGCTGCCACCATCTGTCCGGCGGTTCATCTGGAGCAGCCACCAGCTGTGCGCCCCAGTCAGGCATAAGGGAGCGGCCTTTTTTCACATCTCCGCGGCCTAAACTAAACCTCGTATCCAATGTCGCTGAGGAGGAAATGCAGGATTGCCGAGAAAACTCACACAGCCAAAACTCTCAAGGCATTGGCCTCCAATTACAGAACTCACTTGTTGGACTTTTAAAGGTCCCCCTCCATAAGAATGCAGAGACAGGGGCCGGGAGCCACTGCACGGAGGTGACGTCAGCGCTGGGCCCCCTTCCCACGCGGGAAGCGGAGGTGGCGTCAGCGCTGGGCCCCCTTCCGGCGTGAGGCGCATAAAGATCGGGTCGCTGGGCGGCAGGCCGCCTGCAGTGCTGAGGGATGTCGCACGGGGTTCGCAGCCCCAGCTGAGCCCAACGCCCCTGTGTCTGCCGTCACAGGGAGATCTCTGCCCCCTGGGGCGGAGACACCCAGCTCCTCCCCAAGCTGAAGCTGCAGGTGTTGAGGTACCAGCTAGATGCCTTCTCACAAAGGACCGGTGGTGGCACAGGGCAGCGGGGCTCCTGCCAGTAACAGGGAGACTGACACGGTGGAGCTGGCCGAACTGGGACCCCTGCTAGAAGAGAAGGGCAAACCGGGAATCGCTGTCCCAGCCAAAGCTGAAGCAGAGCAAGCCAGTCCAGTGCCCCAGGAGGAGGAGGAGGAAGAAAGGGAGGAGGAGGAGGAGGAGGAGAAAGAGGGGGAAGAGATGAGGGTCCTGACACTTCCCCTGCAAGCATACCGTGCCATGGAGAAGATGGAGGAGTTTGTGCATAAGGTCTGGGAGGGCCGCTGGAGGGTCATCCCATACAGTGTGCTCCCTGACTGGCTGAAGGACAACGATTACCTGCTCGACGGCCACAGGCCGCCCATGCCCTCCTTCCGGGCCTGTTTCAGGAGCATCTTCCGCATCCACACAGAGACTGGCAATATCTGGACCCATCTGCTTGGATTTGTGCTGTTTCTGTTTCTGGGAATCTTGACCCTGCTGAGGCCAAACATGTACTTCATGGCGCCCCTGCAGGAGAAGGTGGTGTTTGGGCTGTTCTTCCTGAGCACGGTGCTCTGCCTCAGCTTCTCCTGGCTCTTTCACACCGTCTACTGTCACTCAGAGAAAGTCTCTCAGACTTTTTCCAAACTGGATTACTCAGGGATTGCCATACTGATTATGGGGAGCTTTGTCCCCTGGCTCTATTACTCCTTCTACTGCTCTCCACAGTCACGGCTCATCTACCTCTCCATCATCTGTGTCCTGGGCATTTCCGCCATCATTGTGGCACAGTGGGACTGGTTTGCCATGCCTCAACACCGGCAGGCAAGAGCAGGGGTGTTCCTGGGCTTGGGCTTGAGCGGCGTGGTGCCTACCATGCACTTTACGATCTCCGAGGGCTTTGTCAAGGCCACCACCGTGGGCCAGATGGGCTGGTTCTTCCTCATGGCCGTGATGTACATCACCGGGGCTGGCCTCTTTGCTGCTCGAATTCCTGAGCGCTTCTGTCCTGGAAAGTTTGACATATGGTTCCAGTCACATCAGATTTTTCACGTCCTGGTGGTGGCAGCAGCCTTTGTCCACTTCTACGGGGTCTTCAACCTTCAGGAATTCCGCTACAGCCTGAAAGGCAGCTGTACTGATGACTCTCTTCTCTGAGCCTCCCCCCAAAGCCGGAGGGTAACTTCCCAAGTGCTTTAAAAAATAACTTCTTTGCTGAAGTGAAAGGAAGCGTCTGAGTTGTCTGTTTCTAGAAGAAACCTCTTAGAGAATTCAGTGCCAGCCAGGCTTCAGCCCACCTTCCCACCTCAGAGCGGGGGGACAAGCTTTCTGTGTCCCTCGCCCAGGAAAGGGTGATCCACCTGGCCATGCCCCTCCTTAGCAGCCCTCCTCAGCAAGGCAACTCTGTCCCCTTGGCACAGAGTGCTTTGAAGCTCATGTTGAGATTTTATCCCTCCTCCAACCATTTTGGGGAAAAATGATGGACTGGGATTCTTCAGAAATTCTATTTCTGAAAGAAAATGTCCCTCTCTTACCCCCATCCTTACTTTGTAACCTGGCTTAGAATAGGCCATCCATTTTGTAGCATACTTTTCAGAAACGATTGTAACCTGTCCCGTCTTTCTGGGGCCTGGATCTGCTGACAGCAGGAAGAAGTCACCAACTTTGAGACAGCCAGCTAATCATGGAAGTGTGTCCAGGCTTCAGATAACTTGAGTTTTAATTTTTTTTCTTGGCAGAGTAATGTAAAATTATCATTGCTATGTATTCTGATGCAAAGGCTATGATGATAATAAAAGGAAGTGCAGACAAAAAAAAGAATGCAGAGCGCGCTAAGCACATCCTGAACCCCGCCCCCTGCCCCACCCCTCTTTCCTCCCTGCCCAAACCTCATCAAGTTCTAGTGTGAGGCAGTGCGCAGGCCAAGCATTCCATTCACATCTGCAATCACCTTAGTCCACAGGCTCTCCCATAAGAAGTCCTCAGAGCCTGAAGTAAACCCCATGCTCCCAGGGGCCCAGAGTTCTGGGTACCCTTGGTGCTTGCCCGAGGCTTAATTATCTTCTAAGGCAGCGATTCTCAACCTGTGGGTCACGACCCCTTTGGCGGTTGAACGACCCTCTCACGGGGGTCGCCTAAGACCATCCCGCATATCAGATATTTACATTACGATTCATAACAGTAGCAACATTACAGTTATGAAGTAGCAACGAAAATAATTTTATGGTTGGGTCACAACATGAGGAACTGTATTTAAAGGGCCAGAAGGTTGAAAACCACTGTAAGGAGTAACCTGGCTGAGATGTGTCACCTGTGGCCACCTCAGTCCGTCTCCTCTGCCAAGGGCTAGATGAAAACTGGGAGCTGGCATCTACCCCATGCTGGATCCTTGGCATTCCTGTCTGTTATGCACAACTGAACCCCAAGTGAAGGATGTAGAGTATTTAGAACTTGTCTCTTTAAATTTTCTAAACATTAGTTTCAGGTCTTGTCGGCTTGACAGAATTTGTGCCAAGGATTCTAACCTGAAGTGGGAGTGCTGCCCGAAAGCCCTGCACACCAACACAAATTACCCAGCGTGTTCACTGCTGACGCCGGTTCCACTCAGCAAATGAACTGCATCAATGGAATGTAGAGAAATGATACCCTGACTCTTCACAATGATGGAAAGTTTCTTAAACTTACCTAGTACCCCCTGGCAAGAGTTTTCCCATCTTGTAGTGATGATTACTCATTCCTCAGAAGTTCCTACTGAGTATCTACTGGAGGCAGGCACTATGCTCCGTACGGAGGATGGAGGAGCAGCTGCAGCCCCTCTCATGGGATTATGGCGAAGACAAAAGCCAAGACTCAGGGAGAGTCGACTAATAGTGGTAAGGTAGGAAAAGGAAGATGGTGACCCCATGTTATCATTCATTATGGACCATCCCTATTTTGTGCTTGTTAAAACATTTGTACACATATGTCCTCACCAAGTCACAGAGAACTTATTCTGGCTGCTATGAATTTATCAATCAATAGTTGCAGGATACGACTGAGGAATCAGTTTAGAATACAACCAATTTTTTTGGCATCTAGTCCAAATCTGTCTAGTTCAGGAGGCTTTCATGAGAAATTTTAGCAAATTATCTCTACTATTCATATATGTGACAATACCAATTGTCCTTTTTCCTCATGTTTAATATGTGGAAATTGAACTAAGAGAACTCTAGTTCATCCAGCTGTAATATTTTACAATTATATCTATTCTGTTATAGTGCTGCATACATAGATTTTCATCATGTTCCATAAATACATTCATTCATTCAGCCAACTCATATATAGACACTCATTCTGTCCAGGTGCAAATCTATGTACTGAAGATGTAGTGGAAAACAAGAATAATAAGTTCCTGCTTTGGTGGAGTTCACTCTAGAGCAACTAGGAGGTATGAATGGAGATGCAAATAAATAAATATATTTTCAGGGAGTGGTAGATGCTTGAAAAAAAGTGGATGACTCTAGAGGAATTATTTGGGTGATGAGTATATGGGTGGTGTGAGAAAGCTCTGCAGATGTCATGTGAGCAGAGTCATAGGGAAGCTACTATTGTCTATCAGAGGGTTTGACGGTGGTGGTTATGTAAATATCAGCCTGGTTGTAAGTGAAGAATTAGCTGTAGAGGTCTGAGTGGGAAGCAGGAAGATCCACCAGGAAGTGCTATGGTTTTCCAGGGAAGAAACAAGGTGGCTTTGCCACAGTGGAGGTGGAGAGAAAGTGAGGAATTCAGGATATAATTTGGAGAAAGAGCTGAGAGGACTTGCTGATCAAGGGGGAGTGTGAAGAATAAAGGGTGACACAAATGTTTCTGGCTTGAGCAATTACATGGGTGGTGGGTCTATTTATTGAGATTGGAAAGACTGGAATGAGGGTTCTGTTTGGCCACACTGCATTTGAAAGACGTATTGGACATCCAAGTGCAATCTCAACAAGGGAGCTGGATATCTGAATCTGGAACTTGGTGGGAAGATCAGAGGCGGTGCCACAGATCACACAGAGATGATTTATTTCCAGCACAGCTGACCGAGAGTGGCCACGGGCTACTTGTGGTTACTCAAATTTAATTAATTAAAATGAACTAAAGTTAGATTCAGTCCCTCCGTCACAGTAGCCACATCTCAAATGCTCAGTAGCCACATGTGCCCAGCAGCTAGAGGGCTGCGCGGTGCAGACACCATTCCCATCACTGCAGTGAGTTCTCATGCAGAACTCTGCTCTAAACCTCTTTACAATAGTTTACCACCATTGATTTCCCTTGTCTCGTAAGCTATGTGTGAGAGAGATTTGGGGAAATAACAAAACTATGCATTTCCCCATTTGGTTACATTTGTTTCATTCATAACTTAGACATGTAACAACCATTGTTCCTGCTCCTTTGCCCAAATTCTTCGGGTTCGTGTTTATAAACTGTTCCTAATAATTTTCAACTGAAGAGATCAGAGGTCTGCATAACCTTTTGGAAGGTAATTATCCCAAGGTTTTCCATTGTTCTTTCATTCCAAGTTGCCTTACCATCCCTTTTAAAAAGGGGATGGGAGCCTGCCTGGCGTGGCTCAGTGGTTGAGCGTTGACCTATGAACCAGGAGGTCGAGGTTTGATTCCCGGTCAGGGCACATGCCTGGGTTTCGGGCTCGATCCCCAGTAGGGGGCATGCAGGAAGCATCCCATCAATGATTCTCTCTCATCATTGATGTTTCTTTTTTTCTTTTTAAATATATTTTATTGATTTTTTCACAGAGAGAAAGAGAGAGGGATAGAGAGTTAGAAACATCGATGAGAGAAAAACATCGATGAGCTGCCTCTTGCACACCTCCTACTGGGGATGTGCCCACAACCAAGGTACATGCCCTTGGCCGGAATCGAACCTGGGACCTTTCAGTCCGTAGGCCGATGCTCTATCCACTGAGACAAACCGGTCAGGGCATCATTGATGTTTCTATATCCTCTCTCCCTCTCCCTTCCTCTGTGAAATCAATAAAAAATATTTAAAAAACGAGAGGGGGTGGGTGATGGAAACCAAAGGGATATCTTCTAGCCTGCTGAAGGCAGCAGAGCCCTCGGTCTGCACACTCTCCCCCCTCCTCCCCGCAGACGCCAGAGCAGCAGTGATGGAACGAAAAGCCAACTGTGCAAACATTCGCTTCCACTGTCACAAGGTACACAGCAAACATGCCAAAAAGGAGAGCTTAGAAAAACAGCAAAAGAGCAATTATTTCCCGAAGAGAACATGAAATAAGAACCTACGGTGACCCCATAAAGGAAATGGAAAATCCGATCCAGCCACAGGTCAGAGAACACCACTGTGTTTTGGGGTAATGATTACAAAGGGAAAACAGGGTTTGGGCACTGTGAGGTCCCAGGACTCCAGCGTGGGCCTCCCAGGGTGGCACATTCTGTAATTCAATTAAATCCTTTGGAAGAACAAGACTCATGTCTCCTAGAGTAACCCGATTCTCCGGACAGCTCCAAGCTCACATGAAACTTCTGACAACAACCCTTCTACGTGGTGGGTCTGCGGTGTTGCATCAGACGCAAGAAGCCCACGTGAAACGAGGAAACTGAACGATGGCTGCGAAGAAGACCATCTTTTCAGTGATAAAACCGCCAAGAAGCGGAGTGATCTGGGTGCATTTCATTTATGGGAAATACAGATATGGAAGTCTAGTTCTCCACTTAACTTTTTTCAGGGGTGCCTTCTTCATCAAAGAGGAAACTACTGGTTCTAGTTTGTTTAATGGCACAAACTATTACTGCTTCATGGCAGCCCAGAGGACAAGAAGGGCACAACACACAGAGTTATCTCCCCCAAACTTTCTCTCTCAAAAAGCCAGCGATAGCTCTCTACTCCAAACATGTCATCTGGCGCACATGTCCCTCTGTGGCCTGAGCCCTGGGGAAGCTTCCCAGCCCCTTCTCTGCTGCATCTCTGCACAGCCTCTGTGTGGTGACTCCCTGGGCAGAGGTCACACCAGGCAGGCTGAGCTCCTTGGGAAGAGGGGCTGTTAGGAAGGTACCTCGCCCTCAGGATATTGGAGTACAAGGCCAGAGGCCAAGTGGAAGCTGAATCATGGAAGGGACAGGGGAACAGGGAGCAGGCATACGCCCAGTCACCCACCCAGT